CCCCAAAATTGTATAACCTTAAGGCTATACAAAAATTGGCTCTGTTGCAGGAGAAAGTGGGGGAGAAGAAAGTGAAACTGATCAAAGGCAGGATACAGATGCTCCTTAATTTTAGACATTAAGAGAAAATGTATATAAAATGGGGGCTAAAATTAATTCTAGGAGCAGAATAAAAATAAGATGTATAATTCTTAAACTACTAAAACAAGAAAACTTGATTAATTCCACAAAAGGCAAGAAAGAAAAGGAAGTAGTGAATAGTATAAAATAAAATAGAAACAAATAGAAATAAATTAAATCCCCCTAAGAAAATAAATCCTTTGTTTGGTTGGTTTAAAAAAACCCAGCTATATGTATTTGTTTATTTACTTACTTATTTATTCTTTTATTGAAGTATAGTTGATATACAATCTTATATTGGTTTCAAGTATACAACACCATGGTTCAAAAGTTACCCATATTATTAAATCCTACCTACAACTAGTGCAGTACTATCTGTCAATATAGGAAGATGTTACAGAATCATTGGCTATATTCTCCATGCTGCACTACCATTCCTGTGACCAATTTATATTATGATTGAGAATTTTTGTGTCCCTTTATCCCGCTCACCCTCACCACTCACCATCCAAACCCCTCCCCCATGGTAACCACCAGTCACTTCTCCATGTCTATGAGTCTACTACTATTTTGTTCATTTTGTGTTGTTCCACAAATAGGTAAAATCGTGGTATTTGCTTTCTTTCACCTAGCTTATTTCACTTAGCATAATACCTTCTCAGTTCATTCATGTTGTCACAAATAGCAGGATTTCTTTCTTGTCTATGGCTGAATAATATATTATTGTGTTTATGACCATTTACGCCTTTAAACATCCCATTTTACAGAGAACTGAGTCTGACAAAGGTTAAATTGTTTGTCATAAAACAGGAATCACACCAAAAAACACATGTCTGAAGCTTGACTCTTCTTTAATGTTCAATCAAGTAGGTTACAATTTATGATTGAATCTTTCAAGTGACTGGGAATTCACTCATTTTTCACCTTCTTCTTTAAGGAAGTGTTTTCTGACATTGAGTTGAAATGGCCAATAAACAAGTCAGCAAGTCTGTAACTGTGACATTGGGCTGAAATGGCTTACTATAGCTCCTGCCAATGGGTCTAGTTTCATCTTCTGAGACTTTCCTGAGGAAGTGTAGTCCCTTTTCTACATGATGGTACTTCATATACTTGAAGACAGCCATCATGCTCTCCAGGCTAAACATTCCCTATATAGGCTTCTTTACCATCCTTATATAGGCTTCTTTACCATCCTTCTTGCTTGAATGTAAACTGGTCCTAGATTTATTACAGTGCAAAATACTGAGCAAAATATATCTAGTAACACAGAGTACATACATTTTCCAATTATAGATATTCATTGCAGAAAATAATGAAATTTCCTTGTCTTAATGTATTTTCTTAACATCATTAAGACATTTGTAAATGTATTTTAAAAATTTTAAGCTGAACACTTTATTTTTAAATTGTGGGGTTTTGGGATGTGTTACATGCACATGGCACAAAATTTAAAACATACAAGAAGGTTTACAGGGAAAAGTTATGATACTTAGCCTTTCAGTTTAATATATTTCAGACACTCTTTTTAAGGCATAATTCTGATTATGATTATGAAATTTCACTGTATGGATTGTACATATCTTTTAAATCATTCATCTTAAAATTTTTTTGCTGTTAAGGATTTCCATATGTATACTTTCTGTATATATTTTACATTATTCCTTAAAATAGATTTCTAGAAGAAAAATAGCTGCACTGCATCATATGACTTGTATATAATAACTTTCCACAAAAATTATCACTTTACATTTCTATTAGCTGTATATGTGTCCAACTCGCCAAAACTTTGCAAGCATGGAACAATACTATTTACTGAGTTTTTTCCAAATTTGTTGTCTTGTTTGGCTTACAACAGACAATGAATTTTTTATATGTTTTTATATCTTCATTAGATATTTGTATATCCTTCTTTGGGTGTTTAAGCCCTTGCTTATTTTTAGAAAATCAATTTGTATGATTTAGAGTATCAGCCATTGTCATATTCTTGGTAAATATTACTTTTTCCAGCTTATTAAGCTCCTAAAGGTATATCACACATGTTAATATTAGTCCATCCCAAACAATTAAATGTAGTTAATCAAAAAAATTTTTTTACTAAGTATAAGTCCTTACAAATGAACATTTATGTTACAATACATTTTATCTCTTTACAAGTCTGTTTCACTCACCAGATTTTAAACTTCTACAACCCAAGGATAATACATTAATCATCTTTCTAAAGCCTAACAGAAGTTTATATAGTGTAGATGTTCCATGAATTTGTGATATCAAAATGAGTGAACAAACTTAAAAATTTCTATTAGTTTGTTAGACTCTGCTTGTATGGTTACAAGACACCCAAAATTTGATAAATTCTGACTATCTGGAATTTGCATAGAGTCAACATCAAACTGTTTGAAAGTTTGTAAAACACCCTACCTTTCCAATGCTGAGCTGGGTAAAAATTTGATACACACAGGTCTATATAATCTTGTAAGTCAATGAAATGTAGTGTTGACTCAGATAAGGATTGTGGTTCTGCACTAAAAACTCTGGATAGACTGATTGCCACCCAGAAGTCAGTACCCTTTAGGTAGTTAAGTTATTCCCTCAAGGTTATCTAGCCCTTTCTCCATATGCTTATCTCCATGTCTAACTCCAATTTACTCATAAGTATATGATGAAAAATTTCAACAACTCCGTAATTTCAATAATGTTAAGCACAGATAAATAGTACCTGCCACATTTTATTGGTGTACCAGTATAGTAATTTTGTTAGGAAAAATATTTGAAAATTCTGCTTGGTAAACCCTACTATTTGATTGATTACTGTTTTCTCTTAAAGATGCTCCCAGAGTATCCTTTTAATAATTCCTTTTAGATTCTTGCTTGGGATCAATGTGTTTCTGGCCAGGGATTAAAAGGTGTTAGGGACTCTGAACTGAACAAATAAAGGCTTCAGTCAAGCAAAAATTGAAGGAAGTGTTTCAAGTAATATGGGTTTCCATTCTATATCACTGGAACCTCTTTAGTTGTCCATGATCCTTTCTCTATTTCTGAGGATTAGTGACTGCCAGATAATATTAAAAAGTACTTTTCCTGTGAGTAGTCTGAATAGGACTGACTAAAGTGCTGCATACAGATACCTCTTACTCCTGCCACCAATCAAGGGAGTGGAGAGTGGAAAGCATTTGTCAATCAAACAAGCTCACTCTGATGACATGAATTCCTCTTTGGGGGAACTATGAATATTAGCTTGGCTGCCACATGGCTTCCTGGTTCTGGAAATGCATGGTAACTCTGTCAAGGCTCTTTCTCATTCTGTCACTCTGTCAAAGCAGAGACAGTGTGGTCTGTAATTTGCTAACTCCAGAACCAGAAGATCCCATACTCTTTCCAAGAAGTCCCTTAAACCTTTTCCACCTTCCACCATGCATTTCACAATTGCCTACTCCCCCCAACCCAGGAAAAACTAATCTACTAGAGATACTACTTGATTCTTTCTAACTTCTGTGTATTAAATTCATAGGGCTGCCATAACAAATTACTACAAGCTGGTGGGTTAATAGTTTTATTTTCTTACAGTTCTGAGGCCTGAAGTCTGAAATCAAAGTGGCAGCAGGGCTGCATTTCTTCTGGAGGACCTAGGAGAGTATCTGTTTTTTGCTCATTGCAATTTCTGATGACTGTCAGCATTCCTTCACTGGTGGCCACAACACTCCATTAGCCTCTGTGATCATATTGCCTTCTCTTCTCTGTGTCATCTCTTCTGTCTGTCACATAAGGATACTTGTCAATAGATTTATGGTCTAGCTGACAGTCCAGGATGATTGATCTACTCATCTCAAGATCCTTAACCTAATTACATATGCAAATACTTTTTTTCCAAATAACGTAACATTCACAGGTTCCAAGGAATGAGACCTGGGCATATCTTTTCAGGTGCCACTATTCAACCCAATACATCTTACTTAAGGATACAACTTTTTCCTTTTTCTTTCAAGCTTTACCTCAAAGTTTTGAAGAAATTTAAGAAACCTATTCTTTCTTTATCACCTTAGCTTTCAAGAATTCTGTCTTCACTTTGAGCATTTCCTTGGAAAACTCAATCTATTCCTTTGTGTCAGCTGCTTTCTTTTGGAATTCCTCCATCCCTAGGCAAATGAATACCATACCAAAAGAAGGAAACATCGCTGAGTCAAAAAGCAAGTAATTCCAGGTTTTAGATCCCTACTTTTCACCCTGAAAACAGACATTTGCCCATGTTTAGTATTCTAGCACCTACTCTGTTTCCCATAATTTCGCAAAAATAGGAACAGTTGTTATCAGCAGTCATTTGTACTCTTCTCTACCCTGCAAAGCCTGCAATATAAACAATTCTTATCATATGATGTAACGTAAATTGGTACTGCTAGGTACTTTCTTAGAATTTCTTCCCCCATTTGGGAAGTGTATTGCTTCCTGTCAGTATTTATGCTGTTCTTTTGAATAATATTAATAAGTTGCTATTTATCAAGTCATTACTGTGAGCCTGGCTCAGTGTTTTGAATGTGTTGCTTCTATTACTCAGAACAATCCTATGAGAAAGGTATGGTTGTCTCCATTTTACAGATTGGGAAAAAGAGACCCAAGGTAATGTAATTTCTAAGAGTTGAAACAGAATTAAACTCAGATTTGCCTGAACCCACTAACACTGTAGTTTTTCCCACTATGTCAATATACTTCCCATGTCTTCTTTGCAGAGAATGAAGCAAAATAATATGTAGAGTGTTCTGCTCTAACCTTGCACCAGAAGCTGCAAATGAGATCCTTTCCTTGGTCATCTTCTGCTTCTGAACAGAATTTTTAAAAACCTATCCTTTGTCTTCTCTTAGCATTTTTTTTTTTTTTGTACATCTCACCTCATCTGGGGGCTTCAGGTTTCTTGACACTATCCTTTAGGGCCCATGTTACCTTCTTATAATTATCCATGGAATGTGGTTGCTTTCTCCCAAGGTTTCTGTCACTTCCAATTAGCCAAGCAATTCCTCCTTGTTGGTCAGAATTAGGTTCCCCAGTTGCTCTGTTGGGACATCAAATCATGAGAAAGGCAAGTCAAAAATTTGTCAGATGTTTTACTTTTAGCTCAACAAAACTTTTAAAAGGTGTCCAGCTATTTGAATTTTCTCTTTTGGTTGTTGCATTGATACAGATATTGTTAAATAATATTCTGTAGGACACTGCAGTATCAATAGTGAATTCTTTTGTAAATAAATGCATGTGGCAGTATGTGTTTGGAATGTTTTAAATGTCTCAAATAAGATACTCTAAAGCATTTTCAAGCTTCCCACTGCCTGTATGTACATCTGGTCATTCTAACACATTCTTCTTTCTCATCCCCTACTCAAGTTCACCACATAGAAAATTAAATTTTATTTCTAATAAACTAATGTATTTGTGTGTCTCATTTTGAGTGTAATCCCAAACCAGAAAGTGGGAGGTGGGGTGGGGAATATGATCTCTCTGAAGCAGAAATATATCTCAAAAAGTCTATGATTTAAAGTTATAAAACAAAAGGCTATGAATTTCAATGGGAAAAATATTATGCCTTAATTTTTGCTAACCTCTAAGTGAAATTTAGCATTTTTTCAATTGTGAATATAGGCAATCAACCATAGAGTTATTAGAAGTACCGGTGACTTTTATACCAATAAAAATCACATGTTTTCCTATCACATTATTATAGCTGTAGAAATCCCAAAATATAATTGTTGTTCACTACTTTAAAATTATACAGTTGACCCTTGAACAACATGGCTTTGAATTGCATGGGTCCACTTTACATGGATTTTTTTTCAATAAAGATACTGGAAAATTTTTTGCAGATTTGTGACATTGAAAAAACATTTTTCCTCTAGCTTACTTTATTGTAAGAACACAATATTTAATATGTGTAACACACAAGATGTGTAGTAATTGACTTTATGTTGTCAGTAAGGTTTTTGATCAACAATAGGCTATCAGAAGTTAAGTTTTTGAGGAGTCAAAAGTTACAATTTTCAACTGCACAGAGGTTAGTGCCCCTATCCCCAAGTTATTCAAGGGTCATTTATTACTAGATATTACTGGGCCTTCTGCTAGATTTTCTTATTCTATGAATTAATAAAGAAATACATGTATAGCACTTTTGTTGAATATCTTGATTATTGTGTTTTAGTATAATTGGTTTCATGTATGATCCTACACATAATTTATGCATTTAAAAGCATGATTCTAAAAAGGGCTTTATAGGCTTCACCAGACTCCCAGAGGGATCCAAGGTACAAAAAAATTAAGAACGTGTATTACAGGCTCTGGCATTGTGGATCAGAGCATGTGGTCTGGCATCACAATGCTTGGGTCAAATTCTGCTCTGTCTCTTATGCATAACTCTGGCTAACTTATATACACTTAGTGTACCTCCGATTCTTCATGTGTAGAGATAATACCTACCCGAAAGTCTTGCTATGAAGATGAATAACTGTAAAGGGCTCAACACAAAGCCAAGCACATCTGCATTCACCCAGGTGATAAGGGTTTTATGCAAAAAATATTAACATTTATTCTACATACAGATTTTTTTTACTGTGTTATTACTGGCTAAAATTTTAAATTATATTATTAAGTATTATCTAGTTTCAAGTGGCAATTTTTTAAATACATGTACAAGGAAGAATAATACAGTAAAGATCAATATGATCTCCATCCAGATTAAAGGGACAAAGTTAACTTTAAAAAAGATAAATATATTAATTTATTATCCAAACCAGGACACTTTTGAGAGTGAAAGAGAGTGCTTTTAGTTAGTACATCAGGAAAGTAGGCAAACAAGGACTTTTATGGCTAAACCAAGGCTTATGTTCCTTGTGTTCTCCTTCCTTATTCCATTCCCTTCTCTAAAGGAATAGAGCTAGAGAATATCACTATCTTGATTTTATTCTCATTCTTTTGCTTTAATTTATAAATTTAATTCTTAAGTTTGTACCCTTACATGGGATACTGTTTACTTTTATTGGCTCTTTAATTTATGTAAGTGGACAATTGTGAATATAGGCAATAAACTATAGAGTAATTAAAGTATCGGTGACTTTTACACCAATAAAAAATCATGTTTCCCATCACATTATTATAGCTGTAGAAATCCTTTTAGAATTTCTAGCTGTAGAATACCAAATGAAAGCTAAGATGATTTCCAGCCAGAATTATTCTTTTATGAATTATTGTTTTTTTGCTCAACATTATTAAAGAGATTCAACCATGTTCATGGATTTGTAATTCATTTTTTCCACTGTTGTATTCTACTGTATGAGTATATACAATGTATTTAATCACCTTACTGTAGATGGACAGTTGGGTTGTTTCTAATCTTTACTGGTATAATTAATTTTGCTATGAATTTTACTGCTCATATACCTAGCACACATTTCAAGTTTATTAGATAATGGTAATTTGTTTTGCGAATTGACTCTATTAGTTTTTACTCTAGCCAGTAACGTGTAAGTGTTCTGGTGATATCATAAGATTTAAAAATTTTTGGTTATGCAGTGGGTGTGAAATGGCATTTCCTTGTGGTTGAACATCTCTTCAGGTTTCCTTCATTTCCTCCTCCATGAATTGTCTGTTGGGTAGGAGGGAGGGTGGAGAGCATTATCTATTTAAAAAACAATTAAACTGGAGTAGTTCTTTACACAACCTGAATAATAAATCTTCTGCCAGTAATATGGGTTGTAAAGATCTCCCAGTTGGTGGTTCATCTTCCACTCTTTTCTTTTTTTTTTTTACTGTTTATTATGGAAAACATTAACACTTACATAAAAGTATGCAGAATAGAATGAACTTCCATTTACCTATTAACCATCTTCAACAATTATCAACTGATAACCAATCTTACTTCATTTATGTAAGCACCCAGTTTTCCCATCTCTTATTATTCTGAAGGATATCCCAGAAATTATACCATTACATCTCTAGATATTTCAATATGTATCTCTAAAAGATAAGGGATCTTTAAAAATTACTACTATAATACAAAAAATAATTTATAATTCCTTAGTATCATCAAATATTCATTGGCATTCAAATTTTTAATTATCGTGTGCTTTTTTAAAGTTCATTTGAATTATGGTCCAGATAAAGTCCTTTGTTAGCTGGCCTCCAAAATGGCACCCAATGATTCCCACTCCCTGATACTCATACCTTTGTTGTGTCTCACACTGTATCTTCATGGTATGTCTCATCAATCTGTTGGTCAACCTATCTGTGTGATGATATGTCACTTTGAAGGCTATGTGGACATGAAGACTTCTGCCTTTTTCTCTTGAAGTACTTGCTTTAGAGGGATCTGGGTAGCCCTATGGAGAGGCAAATGTGGTGAGGAACAGAAGCATCCTGCCAAATAGCCAGTAAAAAAACTGAGGCATCCTGCAAACAGCCATGAGAATAAGCCATCTTACTTGGATCGTCCAGCACAAGTTAAACCATCAGATGACTGTGGCCCCAGCTGAGAGCTTGACTGTTGCTCCAGGAGAGGTCCTGAGCCAGAAATGCTCAGCTAAGCTTTTCCTGGATTTCTGACCCTCAGATACTGCATGAAATTAATGTTTGTTGCTTCAAATATTATGTTTTGGGCTAGCTTGTTCTAAAGCAATAAAGAATTAATAAAGATTCTGGTCCCTGGAAGTGGGCAGAAGATGGAAGACCTTGGAGGAAAGTGTTAGTGAAAGTTTGAAAATATTTGATAAAATTGCATGTGCATAACTTTGAGGAGGCTGAAGTTGAGGTCTTACAGATTGGATATTGGAGAAAAGTAGCAGAAAGTTTAGCAGATTTGTCACCTGCAGTTGTGTGCAAAGTAGAAAATAGGATTAATGAAGTAGGTAATCAGCTGAGATGATTTCCAGCCAGAATATTAAAGACGTCACCTGATTTATTCTTGTCGCTTACAGTAAAATGTGAGTAGAAAGAAGTTAAAGGAAAGATTGTTAAAAAGGAGCCAGAACTTGTGGATTTGAAGATTTTCAGCTTTTCCAGTTGACAAGAACATTAAAATTAGGAAATGGCTAGGAATGAAGAACAAATCTAAGGCACTAACAGGAAAACATGAAGTTGATGGTGTACTTGTGAAGCCCTTTGAGGTGTCAGAGAGATCTAATGTGGTGCCTCAGAGTATTTCATTCAAACACAAAGGGTGTGCCTCACAGAACCTTTCAAACTATAGAGCTGCTAAGAATTAGTTTAAGGGTGTGGTATACATCAAAAACCTAAAGTAAAAAAGTGTTTATACAGAAGAGATTTATTGGTGTTGCTTTATCTAATGGCATGAACTCAAAATAAAATTCATAGGAGTCCCACAAAGTTTATAAGAGAATTGTATTTGCAGAATATATTTTTTTAAAGAAAATTATATTACCAGGCTGCTTGTCATCCTGGACTGAAAAAGACAGAATACAAAATGAAAACAGGCTTTTGGACATCCACACTTTACAGGCACAAAGCAGGCAGAGAAAACTACACAGATATAAACAAATGGAAAAGGAAGGATAACTCAGTGGGTGTACCCAAGAGAACAGAAGGCAGAGTTAAGAGCCATGGAGAATTACTCTCATGCTTTGAGTCTTAATAAAGAAAGTACCAACCTGTTCCCAAGTAGATTTCAGAATTTCTGTGAAACTGTGCACCTCAATTTCTCCTTTTTAAATTCACATCTGTAGTGGTTATCCTATCCATTTTATCTTAGGTGTGTGGAAGCAGACACTGCATGTCTTTAATTTGCAGGTATTCAGATCAAGAGGAGCTCTATTTAAGGAGCTGTGCTTAAGGATGTACACTTGAAAAGCCTCATCCATACCTAGACTTGATTTAGATTTCTAAAATTTGAACTAATGCTGTAACAGGATAGGTGTTTTAGGGAGCTTTGGGAGAGGATAAGTGTATTTTGCATATTAGAAGAATGTGAATCTTTGGAGGCCAAATTGTGGTAGCCAGTCTCCCAGTATTCATGCCTTTGTTTAGTTCCCTTCCACAGTGTATCAGGGATCATCTGTGGGACTAACAGAATACAAGAGAAGTAATAATATATATTACTTTGAGTCACTTTGACTTCTGTCTGTCTTAGATCACTTGCTCTGGGGAAAGCCAAGTGCCATGCTGTAAAGACACTTGGGCAGCACCGTGAATGAGCCACCCTGGAACTGGATACTCTATCCCCAGTTAAGCCTTCAGAAGACTACATACAGCCCAGCCAACAAGCTTGACTGCAAGCTCTTGAGAGATCCTGGGCCAGAATACCTAGCTGAGCCAATCCTGGCTTCTTGACCCTCAGAAACTGTAAGATATTTTATCTGAAGCTGTTAAGTCTTGGGGTAATTTGTTATACAGCAATAGGTGATTAATGTAAGTCCACACACACTGCTTTGTATGTCTTACATCTCTTCTCATCTATTTTTTTCCAGCTTCTCTCCCTCTCCTGCAACGTGTTTGTTGAAGTTAATTTGTCCCATGATTTTCCATAGACTAGATTTTCCTGGTTGTGTAGTCATGATGTTTAATATGTTCTCTGTATTTCTTAGTTCAGCTTCAATTTTTTTGGAAGACATTTTAGGTGATGGGTTTTCTTTTTTATCATTGGGGCATATAGGTTTCCTTGTTTGTCATGTTAACAGCTGTTGATGTACCATGAATAAATTGATTTTTCATTAGGAATCTCAAAATGGCAATTTTCTAATTCTACCATTCTTTCATTTATTAGTATATGTATATAAAGTCCCTCTCATTTAGTATTTGGTTACCTATGGTTCAGTCCATATAGGAAAAGCAGGACAAATGCTTACTTTTTTTTAACTGGTTTTCAAAATAATGATTACACAGCATCCTCCAATGTTAACCAACTAGAAACTTTTTTTAGTTTTACTGTCATTATGAACTCACAGATTTGAAGACACTTGACAATTTGGCATGTTACAATTCATCATATGTGATATGTTCCAACCTGTGATTACATGAATTTCATTATGTCTGTGAACCTATATGCCCTTACTGATACTCAAACTGTCCCATCTTTAGCCAGTGGGATGCTTTGCAGTTGTCTTCTGAGTCCATGATCTTAGTAGTCTATGATAGCTTCCTTGCTATCTTGTACAAGATGTTCCAGACTCATCTTATACATTTTCTGGGCTGAACTGAAATAAACTAATACTCCAGAGGTTTATAGTCTCTCTTGAAGTTTTAAATGTATTTGATATAATCCTTTTCTCTTTATAGTGTTTGCAATTCTCTACCATAAGACAAAGATATTTCACTATCTTGTCTTCTGAAGGTTTAATAGTTTTTCCTTTCACACTTTAATCTTTAACTTCCAACTGATCTTTCTGTATGATGTTAAGTAGGGAGGTCCAATTCCATTTTCTTCCATATGGATATCCAGTAGCATTTACTTTTTGTTGTTTTTGTTCTTCCCACAGGCCTGCAATGCCATCTAAGCAAAATTCCTTGTAAGAATGCATCTATTACCCCTGATTGAAAAAGACATATGCACTCCTATGTTTATTGCAGTACTATTTACAATAACCAAGATATGGAAGCAACCTAAGTGTCCATCAACAGATGAATGGACAAATGTGGTACATATACACAATGGAATATTATTTATTCATAAAAAGAAAGAAATCCTACTATTTGCAACAACATGGATAGACCTAGAGGGTACAAGTAAAATAAGCCAGGCAAAGACAAGTGCCAAATGACTTCAGTTATTTGTTGAGTATAAAAACAAAACAAAACTGAAGGAACAAAATAGCAGCAGACCCACAGACTCTGAGAAGGGACTAGTGGTTACCAAAGGGGAGGGGTTGGGGAGGGTGGGTGGGGAGGGAAGGAGAAGGGGATTAAGGGGGACTAAAATTCACAACCACAATATAGGTAGATTATGGGGAAAGCAGTACAGCATGGAGAAGACAAGTAATGACTCTACAGCTCTTACTATGCTGATAGACAGTGACTGCAATGAGGAGGTGGTGAGGACTTGATAATATGGTTGAATGTTGAAACCACAATGTTGTTCATGTGAAATCTTCGTAAGATTGTATATAAATTATACTTTAATTAAAAAAAGAAAGAATGCATTTATTATTAGGCTTGTATTCCAGTGTAAATCAATTTTTGAACCTTAGGACAATATCACACTATCCTAATTACTATAGCTTTAAAATATAGGCTTATTGAGATAATTCACATACCATACAATTCACCCATTTAAAGTGTATGATAATGGAATGGCTTTTAGTATATTCAGATATATGTAACCATCACCACAGTCAATTTTAGAACATTTTCATCACCTCAAAAACAAACCTTATGACCTTTAGCTGCCACTACTCTACATCCTTATCTCCCTAAACCTCACCATCCCTAAGCAACCACTCATCTACTGTCTCTGTAATTGTGGACACTTCGTATGAATGGAATCACGTAACTTGGTTTTTTGTGTTTAGCTTCTTTGACTTATATAGTTTTTTCAAGGTTCATCCATGTTATAGCAGGTTATCAGTACGTCATTCCTTTTTACAGCCAAATATTCTGCTGTATGGATATACCACATTTTGTTTATTCTTTGATCACTGCTGGATATTTGTTTTGTTTCTACCTTTTGGCTATTATGAACATCTAATTGTTCTAATTTTATAATAATTCTTCCTGACAAGTCTTCTCTCTTAAATCTTACATCTTTTTCTGGATGTTGACATTTTTGACCCTTTGGTGTTTCATATAAACTTCAGAATAAGTTTTTCAATTTTCCAGAAAAACTCATTTGGCACTTCCATTGCAACTGTTTTCATTATTTAGGGGGAATTGCTGTCTTAACTCTGGAGTCTCTTAATACTTGAATATGGCATATTTTTCTTATTATTAGATATTCTTTAATGTCTTTGAATAATATTTTGATTTTTTCCCTTTAAAGATCTTCTATATTTTTAGATTTATTCTTATGTAATACTTTTATTTTTAATAAAATATTCATATTTTAAAAATACGGTTAGTATCTTAAAAAAACATTTTCCAAAAGTTCATTTCTGCTGAAGAGAAATACAACTCACTTTTGTATGTTATTATGTCCAGAGTCATTGCAAAGCTCTTACTTTGATAATTTACCTGTAAGTTATGTTTCTTCATTTCCATTCTATCTTTTGTTTTTATTGTTTTACTAGTGGTTGGGATCTCCAATATGATACTTGTTCCTGATTCTAAGGGACTGCTTCAAAAATATCATCTTATATGTTTGTCATACCTTTTGTTGATTTAAGGGAGTTCTGCACAATTCTAATTTGGCAATTATGTTTTATCCATATCTTTGCAA